TAATCTTCTCCTTTCCCCCTTCTGATAACCAGGTGGCGAATCGCATCTCTGCATGTCTGGCCGACATATCAGTATGGATGACGGATCACCACCTCAAGCTGAACCCTGGCAAGACGGAGCTGCTCTTCCTCCCGGGGAAGGACTGCCCGTTCCATGATCTCGCCATCACGGTTGACAACTCCGTTGTGTCCTCCTCCCAGAGTGCGAAGAGCCTTGGCGTGACCCTGGACAACACCCTGTCGTTCTCCGCAATAAGGCGGGACCGCTCTGCAGGTTCATGCTCAAATTCGAGAGTACACCCCGCCTTTAAAGGAAGCGGCCAGGGCTAATCCAGGCTTGTCATCTCCGTCTGGATTAAACCCTGGGCCCCCGCTTTTGGGCTGCCTCCCTCTTTTCCATCCCCTTTTTTTTTTTTTTTTTTTTTTTTTTTTTAAAAAAAAAAAAAAAAAAAAAAAAAAAAAAAAACCCCTTACAAAAACTTTTTCCCCCCCCCCTCCCCCAGGGGAATGCCCGCCAAAGGCCCTTTTGGGGTGTTTCAACCTTTTTCCCCCCATTCTTCTTTCAACGGTTTCCACCCAATCCAACCCCCCGGCCTTTCCGGCCCCCCAACCCCTTTTTCCCTCCGTGTTCTTCCAACAACCTTGGGGGACACCCCGTCTTCCGCTAACAAAGGGGCCCGGCCCTTTCCGCATTGTCTCCCTTCGATAAACTCCTTCGGCCCCGTCCATAAACCCCTAAAACTCTCTCCACCTCCACTGGCTTACAGTTGAAGCTCGCATCCGTTACAAGACATGGTGCTTGCCTATGGAGCAATGAGGGGAACGGCACCTCTGTACCTTCGGGCTCTGATCAGTCCCTACACCCAAACGAGGGCATTGCGTTCATCCACCTCTGGCCTGCTGGCTCCCCTTCCTCTGCGGAAGCATAGCTCCCGCTCAGCCCAGTCAAAACTGTTCGCTGCTCTGGCACCCAAATGGTGGAACAAGCTCCCTCACGACGCCAGGACAGCGGAGTCACTCACCACCTTCCGGAGACATTTGAAACCCCACCTCTTTAAGGAATACCTGGGATAGGATAAAGTAATCCTTCTACCCCCCCACCCCCCCCCCCCCAAAAAAAAAAGATTGTAAAGTGGTTATCCCACTGGCTATAGGGTGAATGCACCAATTTGTGAGTCGCTCTGGATAAGAGCGTCTGCTAAATGACGTAAATGTGCCCTTGAGCAAGGCACTTAACCCTAATTGCTCCTGTAAGTCGCTCTGGATAAGAGCGTCTGCTAAATGACTAAAATGTAAATGTAAAAATGTAATTGGCAAACCCCAACCACGGTTAAAGAGGTGCAGCAGTTCTTGGGCTTTGCGAATTACTACCGGAGGTTTATCCTGGATTTTGGACAGGTGGCAGCTCCCATAACGTCCCTTCTGAAGGGGGGTCCGGTGCGCTTGCGGTGGTCAGCTGAGGCGGACAGGGCTTTTGGGAGACTGAAGGACCTGTTTACTTCGGCTCCGGTGCTGGCGCATCCGGATCCCGCTTTACCATTCCAAGTGGAGGTGGACGCGTCAGAAGCCGGTATCGGGGCCGTTCTCTCGCAACGGTCCGGCACGCCACCTAAACTCCGCCCCTGTGCTTTTTACTCGAAAAAGCTCAGTCCGGCGGAGTGAAATTATGACGTAGGGGACAGGGAGCTGTTAGTCGTGGTACAGGCCCTAAAGGTGTGGAGGCATTGGCTTGAGGGGGCTCAACACCCTTTTCTCATTTTGACTGACCACCGTAACCTGGAATACATTCGGGCAGCTAGGAGACTAAATCCTCGCCAGGCTCGGTGGACTATGTTTCTAGCCCGGTTCGTGTATAAGATCACTTACATCCCTGGGTCCCAGAACGGAAAGGCAGACGCCCTGTCTCGGCGGTATGACACAGAGGAGAGGTCCGTTGAGCCCACTCCCATACTACCGAAGTCTTGTCTGGTGGCACCGGTGGTGTGGGAGGTCGATGCTGAAATCGAGCGGGCGTTACGTTCCGACCCTAGCCCTCCACAGGTTCCGGTGGGTCGGATGTACGTTCCGCTCGAGGTTCGGGATCGACTCATTTATTGGGCTCACACGTCACCCTCCTCTGGGCATCCAGGTATTGGCCGGACAGTGCACTGCCTTAGCACGAAGTACTGGTGGCCAACGTTAGCCAGGGATGTGAGGGTTTATGTCTCCTCCTGCTCGGTGTGTGCCCAGTGTAAGGCGCCTAGACACTTGCCCAGGGGAAAGTTACAACCCCTGCCCGTTCAACAATGACCCTGGTCTCACCTCTCGGTGGATTTTGTTACAGACCTTCCCCCCTCACAGGGGAATACCACCATCCTGGTCGTTGTGGATCGGTTCTCGAAGGCCTGTCGTCTCCTTCCCATGCCGGGTCTCCCTACTGCCCTACAGACCGCTGAGGCACTATTCACCCATGTCTTCCGGCATTACGGGGTACCCGAGGATATAGTGTCTGATCGAGGCCCCCAGTTTACCTCCAGAGTCTGGAGAGCGTTCATGGAGCGCTTGGGGGTTTCGGTGAGCCTTACCTCGGGGTACCACCCGGAGAGCAATGGGCAGGTCGAACGTGTAAACCAGGATGTGGGTAGGTTTCTGAGGTCGTATTGCCAGGGCCGGCCGGAGGAGTGGGCGAGGTATGTTCCCTGGTCCGAGATGGCACAGAACTCTCTCCGCCACTCCTCCACTAAACTAACTCCGTTCCAGTGTGTGTTAGGGTACCAGCCGGCTCTGCACCTTGGCATCAGAGCCAGATTGAGGCCCCTGCGGTGGATGAGTGGGTGCGGCACTCGGAGGAGACGTGGAACGCTGCACACGTCCATCTGCAGCGGGCCATCCGTCGACATAAGACGAGCGCCGATCTCCACCGCAGTGAGGGGCCGGTGTATGCACCGGGAGATCGAGTCTGGCTCTCGACCAGAAACCTGCCCCTCCGCCTGCCCTGCCGGAAGCTGGGTCGGCGGTTTGTGGGGCATTTTAAAGTCCTGAGGAGGTTGAACGAGGTGTGTTACAGGTTACAACTGCCTATTGATTACAAGAATATTAACCCCTCGTTCCATGTGTCTCTCCTTAGGCCGGTGGTAGCTGGTCCACTCCAGGACTATGAGATAGAAGAGACTCCTCCGTCCCCGCTGGACATCGAGGGGGCTCCGGCGTACACTGTTCAGTCCATCCTGGATTCGAGATGCCGGATGGGGGGTCTCCAATATCTCGTGGAGTGGGAGGGGTACGGCCCGGAGGAGCAGTGCTGGGTGACGAGGAGGGACATCTTAGACCCGTCTCTTCTGACCGAGTTCCATCGTGGTCATCCCACGCGCCCTGCTCCGCGTCCTCCTGGTCGTCCTCTAGGCCGGGGTCGGCGCACGGCTGGAGCCGCGCGTCGGGGGGGGGTAGTGTCACGGTTTCGGCCGAGGCTGCTCCTCCTCCTTGTTCGGGCAGGCTTCAGCGGTCGTCGTCTCTGGAGTACTAGCTGCCACCGTTCTATGTTTCGATGTTTGTTTGGTTTGGTCTGTTTGTACACCTGTTCATTGTTAGTGTTAATTATGTGTCCTATAAGTTCTCTTGGGTTTTGTCATGTGTTGTGTGTAATTGTTTCTTATGTCAGCAAGGGCTGCTAGTACTTCTCTCTCTCGTGTTTGTTTGGAGAGAGTGTCCGCACAGTGTGCGCATTTTGTTTTGTATTTTGAGCTGTACTCAGTGTGCGTAAAGTTCGCTTGCCTTCCGGCTTGGATTTAGCCGTGTGTCTTGTTTTCGTGTCTTCACTAAAGACTGTTGAACGAAGCCTCTGTTGTCCTGCGCTTGATTCCACACCACATCCACGCTCGAACCTGACACCACTTCAGAAAAGAGAATTCAACTGAGAGCAATGACAACACTCTTTCCTTCTGGGAGCTGATATTTTGGAATATTGCTTTTTTCCTTATTCTGCAGAGATTTCTTTGCGATTGTCTTATTACTTCCTTCATTTTCTAGCAGGATGGCATCTGCAAATGCAACTGGTTCAGGGTAATTGATCTCTTTAATTATTCAATGTATATTATTGTTAGTATGGTGCTGTTATTAATGTTAGTTGTAGGCCCAAAATGAAGCCTGACCTAAATTTGAGGTGCTTTTGGTTGAGAGCATTAGAACTGTTGAGGCTATTTTTATTTATTTATTTACTTTTTGTCATTTAGCAGACGCTCTTATCCAGAGCGACTTACAGGAGCAATTAGGGTTAAGTGCCTTGCTCAAGGGCACACCGACAGATTTTTCACCTAGTTGGCTTAGAACCAGTGACCTTTCGGTTACTGGCACAATGCTCTTAACCACTAAGCTACCTGCCACCCAGAAACACAATTCAACCACAGTAACGTTGCTGTTTATTACTGTTAGTAGTAGCTCTGCTAGCACTAGTAATAATAGGTGTGTAAGTATTGACATACTGCTAGTAACTTCATTACATGTACTTATTGTGCATTTACTGTCTTACAGAAAACAAAGAAGGATCCCTCTTGTCTGCAGATTTTGCTTGAAGAACCAGGACAACATCTCTCTACACCTCAGCAGAGTGTGCATGAAGTTAAAAACAAAACAAGAGATTGTTCAAGAAGTCGCCGCTGCCCAAGATTCCATGATAGAGCATCTTTGCAAAGGCAGGATCTTTGACTACAGCTTACTCAGCTGTATCGTTATACAACAAGACACACTCCGACTCCTGATCCAGAAGCTTGAAGAAACTGGTCATATTGTTAAGAACAAGCCAGAAGTCAAACAAGCACCTGTGTAAGCTATTTCTTACACTGATAAAATAATATATATGCAAGTTACATCGTATTTTAACTCATTTTAACTGTCGTCCAATTATATTTGATTGTAATATAATATAATTGTTTTTGTTTATCTGTATGATATTTCAGCCAAGTGGAAGTGGCTCATGTGTTGACACCAATTGAAGATGCAGATGTAGATGCAGAATCAGACATCAACATGGAGGATGACCAGTCTGCCTTGTACCAACCGTAAGTAAATACACATATAAATAATCTCATAAACAACTACTACACATAAGCATTTCCAAGACTGCCTGAATGACTTACAGAAGTCCATGAGCAAGCAGGTGTCTCAGGAAATTACTGGCAAATGGTATATATTTAAAACTGATACTCATGGAAATTAAGTTAATATTTTAAGTGTGTATTGTTGTCATTCTTCAAATCATTAATGTATTATTGTTTTTCTGCAGGTACACACAGATGGTGACTGTTGCAAAGACACCAAAAGAATGTTTGGCAATCTTGGAGGTGGCCAAGAAAGACTTTCTGGGTGTCATTGGGAAGGCCATGAGTGAAGAATCTTTGGACGAAAATGAACAACTGTACTACCTGGAGTCTCTGCTCATGCTGAAACATCTCCAAAGTGCTGGAGTTGTAAATAATATGACCGTAAGTTAACTAATGTCATATAATTGCTATAATGTTGAATCGTATTAGCTTTTTTGGCATATGTTTAATTGATATGTCACATTTCCTATTGTAGCTGAACGAATGGCTCTCAAGGAAGGCGCACATCTTGCCAAATGGTGAGAAATGGACTGTCTTCAGTGTTAAGCAACACAAGACAGGGACACAGCAGGTGGCAACCGTTTCGTTAGATGAGGAGGAAGATGCAGTAAGTATATTTACCACAATCTGGTTATTGTGAATGAGATTGATTTAATACAAACCTGGTAAATATGTTTTTTTTGTCTACATTTTCAGTGGTTGGATACGTACTACCGACACGTTCGACCAGCTTTTCTTCAAAACTGTGATGACGTGGAAGAAGATTAGAGATTCTTCATTTCCACAGCTGGAAGAGCCATCTACAATCCTTCCAATTACCTACAAAAGTTTCATGCCAAGTAAGTAGAACACTGTTAAGAACAACGCTGTTTTTTATCATTACACAATGCTTTTATGACAGTACAGTTTTCTAAAACCAAAACAGTTTTTTCTTGTTCTTTCATCAGATACAAACTCCCCAACATCACCAGCCAGGTAGCAAGGTGAATTTTTGAGACACATACCAAAGACAACTTCACAGACCAAGAGAAGGCACTTGTTGCTGACTACTTGGCCCATACAACTGCTACAGCTGACAGGCACTACCGCATGAAGACACCAGTCAATGCCTGCATGGGAATGAAGCTGATCTCCAAAGTTGCCATGTCCAGTGAATCTGAGTAAGTATTTACACTCGTTATATAAATGACCCTTTACAATGTCTTGTAAAGTTGTTACATATGGCTAATACGTTTTTGTTATTTTCCCTTTTTCAAGTAGTGAGACTGCAGGCCCCTCCTCCACAAGCACAAGTTATGGAAGAGGAACATTGTCCAGCAGCCAAAGGTTGGATGAGGCACAGGCCTTGAACGTCTTCTACCAAAACTTCCCTGTCACAATTGATGGACAATCAATCAAGAAGAAGGACAGACTACTGATTGCAGGAAGGCATGAGAGATACTGTTATGACAAGTGGAGAAACCAGCAAAAGAAAATGAGACGGAATTATGTGATCGGTAAGATGCAGCTAAAATACAATAGACTGAATACAATTTTTACATATTAGGTATTACGAGAATGTACTTTATTTAGTCACATAACTACGACTGTAAGTAGTCCTGGATAAGGGCTTCCGCTATTGAATAAATGAAATTAATAATAACACATTTATTTTTGTCTTTGCATTGTTACAGCTCACTTCCCCAGAAGAGAACCCACTGCCAGAAAAGTAGAGATATACATTAAACGGCAGAACTGGGAGAAGAACAAAGTGAAGGTGGAGGATGTCCTTCGTTACTGGCAACCTTCAAGCAACACTGACACAAAAAAAGACATCAACGCAATTATGAAGCTGGTGAAGTCCCAGAAGTGGAAAGGACTGTACATTTCCAGTGACCCTGTCAAAGGAAGAAAGGTCATGACAACACGGAAATTTGCTAAAGGGGAAGTCGTCTGTGACTACCACGGTCTCCCACTCTCAGGGAAGCAGGGGAAAGAACTTTTGGCAGCAACAGATGAAGACGAGATGGGGTACCTATATTTCTACAAGGATGTATCAGAGAAAACGTGCTGCATAGATGCCAAGACTGTGCCCTGCCCTTGCCACCCAGAGAAGGACACAATTGGACGGAGGATCAACCACTCCAGAAAGAGAAGCAACATAAAGGGTCAGCTTCAGCAACTTGAAGAGGATGGCAAAGTGTGGAACGTTATCCTTTTCATTGCCCAACGAGACATTCCGGTGCAGGAAGAACTGTTATTTGACTATGGGGTGTAAAGAAAATATTTTGGTGGAGAAGGAGAAGATTTGGAATGGCTTGACAGCTAGGCCAGTCAGCATGAAATCAACAATAACTGATGGGACTCAAAAATATCCTTAAACCCCTTTTTAAAATGTAAATCTGTAATTTTGGTAATATATTTAGCCATGCATGTTCAACTTAAAATGTCAGTTTTGGGTATCCTGCACTTTAAAATAAACAACACATTTAAAGAAAACCTGCAAATTGTTTTTCTTTTCACCCTTGTCTATTCAACACACTTTTGGCAGATGCCATCTTGCTAAAAAAAGTCTCAGGTGTTGTTGCCTAGGCCATTGCTCTAATGTTTGAGGCTCCTCAAGCTGAGGAATTTCACACCTCTGTGTGGGGGTTTCACAAGCTATTAGGGTTAGAGAGGAAGTATTATGTGCAGTAGTCAGAATTGCTTCTATATAACAAGACATTCTCCCAAGAACTGTCTGATACAGTTGCCCCCCAGGAGACCAGCTACACCCTCATCCAGGTTGAACACCTGATATCCCCCACCACCCAGGAGACCAGCTACACCCGGATCCCCAACCTGGTTGAACCCCCGCTAACCCCCACCGCCCAGGAGACCAGCTACACCCAAACCGAACCAAAGAAGACTGGGATAAAGTCCTGTCACCCTGTCACCCTAAAAAAATTCCAACCCACTGAGCATGACACAAACAACCCCTTCCAACCACGACCAAGGAAGAGGAAATATGACTACATGCGAAAAGGTAAATCAGTATCTAACTTATATTGTTTATTAATAAATCGTAATGCTGTCAATAACTTCAATTATGTTTTTTAATAAATTAATACAACAATTCCAGTGATTGATGGTCCCCTACTTTTCGGGAGGCAGGCATATTATACACTCTTAGAAAAAAGGGTTCTTCAGCTGACCCCATAGTAGAATCCTTTTTGGTTCCAGGTAGAACACTATTGGGTTCCATGTATAACCCTTTGTCTTAAGGGTTCTACCTGGAACAAAAAAGGGTTCTCCTATGGGGACAGCCAAATAACAATTTCTAAGAGCGTAGTCTAAGGCTAGGAATAGATGTAAAATGAATAATGCAAATGACTGGCACACTAACTTCATTAATGTTCTGATGGGTGGTGATTAAATAAATGTATTTATGGTTTCAGTGCATCCGGGGCAAATGATTTTCCCTATTCTCGAAATTCTTGCCAATAGAACTTCAGAGGAGGTAAATCATCTGCAGTACATTGAAATTCCTGTGACTGTATTTACAGGCTAATCCTAGTGCAACACCAATTGTAGTTAACTTGCAGTACATAGACCTTGTAGTTAAAGTGGCAACATGTAACCAAATTCACATAGAAATGTGAGTTACAGATCTTTCATTCTACTTGAAAGCAAGTCTAAGAAGCAGTAGATCTGTTCAACAGTGTGCGTTATTTTTATGTTTCCCGTTCTTAAGTTTTGTTTTAGAGTCTTTTACTTTGGTTTTGTACAGCAGCTTCAAACAGCTGACATTAGCAACCATGACATTGTGGAGAGATTTCTGCATAGTGCAGCTTTAAAAAAAAAAAAAAAGTATATATGGGTGATTCTTTAACTATGGTACTTTTCTTGTCCCTGGATGAAATAATAAAAACTAAAAAACATTTCTTCTTTTTTGTTTTTGTCATACTTACTCCACCCTAAGGGGAACTTATAAAAATGTATCATGGCTCAATCATTCTTTTTATTATATAATATGAGGCCTTTTATGCATGGTTTTTACTGTTTTCCCTCTGTCCCTAAGCCAGACTTTGTATCTTCAACCTCGCTTAATTCTAAATTAAATATTTAAATAATGTAGATTTCAAGTACAAATGATAAAATACCATTTATTTCAATTCTACATATTATATATTGTGATACATATTCACATTTTCCTATATTTTTCATAAATAGAACCCTTGTCCCTTGGGGTCACTGTCATTTCCACCACCATGTACAAAATAGAATCCTGGGATCAGTGTTTTAGGTTTGTATATTTAGTAACCATAGCAACAGAAACTCCACAGTGGAACACATGGCTGGATGAAATGGTGTCCTCTACAGGGGGTAATGAAAAGAAGAAAAATCAAGGTAAATATGAGTAAAACTGAGAGTATGTTTATTGGTCGTCATTTCCAAACAGCTCATATTTCACATGGACGTAAAAATAACTGGATACATTTAATTTAATAATGTGTAATTTGTGTATATTTAATGCTAACTCTAAAACTAATATTAGCAGGCTAACATAGCATGAGATTTTAGAGGGAAAGTGGGGAAATGTCATTTCCACCACAGTCATTTCCACCACAGTGTTCATTGTGGTGGTAAAGACAGGTTGTGGTGGAAATGACATTGTTCGTGCTAAACAGCAAATTATTTGGGCTATAATACTGATACTAAATTCAAAAACAGTTTTAACAATATTACAATATTGTTGGTAAATAAGAGAACAATAGATAAGTAGGTTTGACATGATGTCTTGGCTCTTTCTTTAAGATGGCAAGCAATACCACAGCACAGAGGTCAAGATCATACAGAGAAAGAATAAAATCAGATCCACTTAAATATGCAGAGTCCCTCAAGAAGGACAGAGAAAGATACCTGAAGAAAAAGCAACAAGGTGTTGTTAAATCTGTGACAGAAATGCCGAAAAGAGAACAACGAAAAATGAGAAGACAGTGGCGAATTTCTCAACGAAACAGACGTAGGAAATGGAAAATGGTCTCAGCAGTGAATAGTTTCATGGCACATACAACACCACCACCATCACCAGACAACATGAGTGTTAATGCAGAAGACATCCCTGAAACACCTCAGCTGTGTGAGCCTACACCAGAGAGAACTCCACAGAGGAAAAGAGGGAGAAAAAAGGTTGCGAAGGCAAAAGCAAAGGTGTACAGAGATCTTAATGACATTAAACAAAAGCTTGAGAATGCCCTCAGAAAAGTTGAAAAATACAAAAAAAGTTCAAGCACACTTACCAGCACATCTCAACCCATCATAGACCTGCATGAGGGACTGATTGGAAGTTGGTGTGTGGTACGGTATGATGGGGATCCTTACCCTGGCATTATACAGGATGTGGACCCTGAGGGTTGTGCTCTGGTGAGAACCATGAGTCATATTGGCAAAAACAAGTTCTTCTGGCCTATGAGAGACGATGTTATTTGGTACCGGCCAGAAGATGTGATCAGGCTGGTCCCAGAGCCTCAACCAGTAACAAAGAGGCATGTGATGGTGGAGCCAACAGTTTGGAAAGAAATATGCTCTGTTCTTGACCATGAAACATAACTGAACCTCTGGCCCATATGCAAGTTTGACAGATACAGTATTTAGCAAATACAATGTCTATTTAGTCAGATTCAACTTGTTATTCCACATGATTACGTTTGACAGTACATGGATTTACGATATAACACACATGACAGTAATGTTTAAGTACAGAGTGTTTGCTCTGGTTCAGCATAGGCATATAAGTTTTCAATTTCAAAATATATTGCCTATTTTATCTGTTATTCAACTGGTTATATTAAGGTTATGTTAAGGTAATGATGACATAAAGGGTTTGCTCTAATTTGTACTAGTTTGCTCTAGTTCAGCATGTAGAAAACAGTGAAGAAATGATTTGCTGATTTTTAACACAAATTCATGTTTTTTCATTTTTTGGATTGTTTTTAATTTAAAAATATTGGTGATATGTTTTTGTTCACAAATGCTGTTGCTTATTGATTTGCTCTGGTTCACCACATAGAGCAGTAGAAAAATTGTTTTTAATTGGAAGTTGCCTATCTGTCATTTCCGCCACGCCATGTCATTTCCACCACAACACATATTTTAAAGTAAAACATAAAAAACATACAATCAAACCGACTATATTCAGTGGTGTTGATAATTGTGCAGTTAGGGCTAAGATTTGTGTATACACTTTGAGAAATATATGATTTTGAGCTATGATAAGAAAATGAAATGTTCCATTGACCTAGTTTTAGGTGTTTTTTAGTGTAAACATTGTAAAATCTTTACAGTTACATTTCTGAAAAAAATAATAAATTACAAATTTGAACAGATATGTGTGTGCTATTTAATCAAATATATTTATAACAGAAGATATTTCATTATTTTCTCTTAAAAATACATGTTTTGTTATGTGATGGAAATGACCATTTTCTTGGACTGTCAGATAAAAATGGCAAAAAATATATATTAGTAAATACAAATCATCACAGCCAACTTCAGGGAAGGTTTCCAGACAGATTGAGAAACCAACTGATACTAAAAAATTGTTTGTAGAAATGTTTTTATTTTCTGAAACTGTCTAGCTCAAAGAGTACCATAGTTGAAGAATTACCCATATATATTTCTTGCATAATAAAGGATCAGGAGCAGAAAGTGAGATGGAAGCCATGCTCTGGATGGTATGTTTACTTCAACTAATCTCCTAGAAAGAATTGAGAATATACTGTACACTCAATACCATATGTATTTTGACAGTGAAGCTAAAATGTACAATTTTAATCTAAACTCCAGCATTTTGAATTTGAGATCAAATGTTTCATATGAGGCGATAGTACAGAAGGTCACCTTTTTACAATTTTGAAAAGAAAGCACTTTATGCAAATAGTCCCCCCCAATTGAAGAAGCCATAAGTATTTTGACAAATTCACTTATAGTGTATTAAAGCTATAGTACATTAAACCTTTTATTAGAAAAACTAAATTCTGGAGTATAGATCCATATTTCACATTTTAGCTTCACTGTCCAAATACATATGGTTTTGGTTGTACCTTGGTATTGGATCTAACGTTACAGTGCCTTGCAAAAGTAGTCATACCCCTTGGAAACGCCTTTGACAGCGATAACAGCTGTAAGTCTTCTCAGGTAAGTCTCTTAGAGCTTAACACCAGGATTGTGCAATATTAGCCCATTATTCGTTCCATAATTCTTCAAGCTAGGTCAATATGTTGGGGATCATGGCTA